CCCGTTCTTGGTTTCTCCTTCCATCCGGGGGGTGGGGGGAGATGTGTAGGAAGCCTGCCCCTGGCCTCTGCAGCGCCAACTCTTTCGCTCTGGCCACTGAAACTGCTTCCAATATGGCCTGCTCCCAGGGTAAAAAATGGGCGTGGTGGGGAGCTGTGGCACAGTAGTAGCAGCAACACTTCCCTTTTTTCAACAACCCAGGTGTTTGGTTTAATCTAGAGGTGGTGAACCTATGGCCTGCGTGCAGTGGGCATTCACAGATCTCCCGGTCAGCATGTGAGCCAAATCACTCCAGCCAAGGTTTGACAAATTATCAGCATTCTTACAACAGCAAAGATCACATTGATTGTGCAAACGCATGTCAAGATGCAAATTTTTCTCTTTCAGTAAAAACTTGTATCATTGAAAGATCTGTTAGTGTGTTTACCTTTTATGAAAAGAGACGCTAATGTATGAGCTGTTGTTTTTTTCCTAAACTAAAATCTCAGAATTCAGATTTAATCACCATGTTAGCACTTCATGATAAATAAGTGGGTTTGGGGTTGCAGTTTGAGCACTTGGCCTCTAAAAGGCTCACCATCATGGTCCAGGGGGAAAATGGACTCCTAAGCCAAGTCTGTCTCACTGTGGGTCTATTGGATGTGATTATTTCCCTGTTTTCTGAGGGTAGAAATAAGAGCATCATGTTGACTATGATAAATTTTATCATTTTAGTTCTAATTTCAACTTTTATGCCAAATGTGCAAATTCCTAAAACAGATAAAACTGACTTCTGATATATGATCTGTGAAAATTATCAACTACATTTTCTTTAATCCTGATCAGAAAGAACTAGGTTGGGCATGGTGGTGCATGTCAGTAAACCCAGCTACCAGAGGACTACTGCAGGATGATGTCAATTTGAGACCAGGTCGGGCAGCTTAGCAAGACTTTATCTCAAATTAAAATGTAAAGGGCTGGGGGTATTACTTGTTGCTCTGTGGGTTCAATCCCCAGTATTGCAAAAAGAAAGAAAGGACAGAAGGGGGAGAGAGAGGTAGAGAGAGAGAGAGAGAGAGAGAGAGAGAGAGAGAGAGAGAGAGAGAGAGAGGAAAAAGAGGAGGAAAATTAGGAGAAATAAAGAATAAAGAGAAGAGAAGGATGAAGAGGAGAATGGAAGAAAAGGAGAAAAAGAAGTGGAGATGAGGTTTTTATATTCATTTAGGATAGACACCACCATATACTTTCAGTTTTGTCTCAGAATTATGTTAACTTCCTAGCTTGCTGCCACTGTAGGGAGAGATCGTCCACATAGCCTAGAATTTCACTGTGCTATAGAATATTGTTGACATGGTATCAATTCAGCCCAGTAATCAGGAAGTAGCAAGACCTCTAGATAGTCTGGTAAGATATACATGCACTACAAAGGGAATATAAACTCAACCAATATCAGGGCTCTGACACATTAGTAAAATTTTATGAGTCAAGTTGTTTAGAACATGCTAGAATACCTTGTTTTAGATTTAAAAAAAAGATTGCAAACCTGTGCTTCCTGTCATTCAAAGAACACTCAGTTGCTGTTTTATAATTTAATAAAAGCACTTAGTGGATGATAGTCACATTTTCTACCACTAAGCCACACCCTTAGCCCTGAAAATTATACTTTGACGTATGGGACTATTGCATTCACACTTACTATTTTCTTAAAAATATATTTTAATTTTTAATCAATTGATCAATCAATTAATTACTTATTTTTTGGTGTCATAAATTGAACTCAGGACCTTGTGCTTGCAAGGCAGGTGGTGGAACTAAATCCCCAGTTCCCTACTCTTACTATTTTTAGGTAATGGGCTGTCAGTGAGACCTAGAACAGGAGAGAGCTCTGAAAAATATTTCAGATGGAAGTACAAATTGCTCTGAATTTGGGCAGTACAACCAGTAGTATATACTCATAGCGTTAGAAATAGCAGCGGTAATGAGAGCGCTGTGAGAAGTTCTGATGAGCCCAGATAAGAGTCACAGCAAAGGCATTTATAATTTTAGAGCAAGAGTAAATTTTCTATAGCAGAGAGCAATTCCAGTTTAAGAAGCATTTCCAGAAATACATTGCACCTTAGCATGCATTGGTTACTAACAGAGCAACATTGTACTTTACAGCAGCCAACCAAGAACGTATTATGAACCAACCAATTCATAATGTTGGGAAGACACCTACAGTCTATTATGCCAAAGAAATTCACCTATTCAAAGAAATTTGGACTAGCCTGAGCAAATCCAAAAGGCACAAATAATTTGAATTGGTGAATGGACTACTGTCACAGATAACAAATTTTTTCAACCAGGGCTTTGCTTAGTTCGCGCCTCTGGCCTTGTATCCCTTTGATGAACTGACAAATGATGAAATATGTAAGGACTATTTCATAGATCAATCAAGTTCAATGTGTTGATGCAGACCAAAAATATCCTCTTACTATGTAACCATCAAATTCAGGAGTGATTTTTGAAAGAAAAGAGTGAAGGGATATTTCCCCCCTGGCCAGAGCCTTGTAATATAAAATTAATTATAATTTTGGTATAATAACCTGAGATAAAGATATACAAAAACCACTGGAGTATGCCAAATAGCTTAGTTCTTTGGTTAAGTGCTTAAGATCAAGGTTACAATAAAAGTAGATTGGAGAAAAAGCATGTGGGTGGACCTACGGGAATGGACAAGAATGCATCAAACGACATTTCAAAACAGTAACCTCTACCTAATAAGCAGGATTACAGGATTCATCCAGTATAGGTCAGCTTCCTTCTAATCTCTGCCTGCTGAGCAAGCAGTAGATAACAAAATAAAATGTATGTTCAGCTAAAACAGCACTAGACTCAACTTACAATCATTTGAGTGAGTGAATGGCTTCCTAGGACAAGTTTTAAACCTATTAAAATATAAGTGCATCAAGGAATAATTTCAGCATTTTAATAAGAAATGCTAAAATCTGGTTGAAAGGATGTTAGCAATGGTAAAATGCAAGCGACTTTTGCCCTAGACCATAATTTAGTCATTTTTTTCTTTAAAGTCTTTTTTTGATCTAGGTAGTTATTAAAAAGTTATTCTTTTAAGGGAGGACATGATGTTAAATGGAGTAAGTCTGAAACAGAAAGACAAATACCACATGTTCTCATTACACGTGGAAGCTGAAAGTTGATCTCATAGAAGTAGAGTCCAATACAAGTCCCTAGACTCTGAGAATTGTATGGGGGAGACGATATGAAGTATGATTTAAAAGGAGAAATAACTACTGGTATAGCAAAGCACAGAAGATTAATGATGGGTGATAAAAATTAGATATTTTAAAGTAACTAGTAGAGAGAATGTTGAATACTTCCAACATAAATAAGAGAATGTAGGTGTTAACTGTCACATATCATATATTAGAAGCCAATGTGATATCTTCTAGTAGAGATATCAGATCTGGCATAAGAGTTAACATTGGAACTAAAATCATAAAATTCATCATAGTCAAACCATTTTGCTATGGCCCAACTGTTTATTGGAGGAACATACTGGAAAATTAAATGAAGATGGAATGGGAAACATGTTTTTTAAGTGATTAAGTATTTGAAAAGGTACTGGTATCTGCGTTTCAACCCAGGATGTTGTGTGGTTGTGCTTTGCTACCTTGATAAGATGTAAAAGCCAGTCTGAGGGGCTTCCACTTAGCTTTGTTCACCATAACGACTCTTTACTCAAGCCAAAGAGCCAATGTCATTCTGCTAGCTGACAATATCCTCTTAATTCTACCCTCAGAAAACAGGGAAATGACCACATCCAATAGACCCACAGTGAGACGGACTTGGCGTAGGAGTCTATTTTCCCCCTAGAACATGATGGCAAGTCTTTTAGACGCCAAGTGCTCAAACTGCAACCCAAAACCCACTTATTTATCATGAAGGCTAACATGGCAATTAAACTTGAACTCTGAGGCTTTAGTTCAGGAACAAAAAAGCAACAGCTCCTACATTAGCATCTTTCTTAAAAGGCCAACACAATAACAGAGATTTCAATGATACACATTTGAAAGGTAAAACTTTGCCTTTGGCATGCTGTTAGCTGCTCAGCTCCTGGGGTGATGCTGGGGCGACTTGGCTCAGATGCTAAATGAGTGGGCTATGTGTGCCCACTGTGACACCTGTGCCATAGGCTTGCCACCACTGGCCTAGACTTGGGACGATGACATTTTGTTTGATTAGTATCAGTTCTTGCTCAAATATCTATGCCAGCCCTCGGAAACCTGTTTTTTATCTTTCCTTTGTCTCCCAAGAACCCCTAGAAAATATAATATAAAGTTATTTTGGTTAAAACCCATAGGCACCTTTATGGAATGATGGGTGGACTTCCTACTGATTTTTTTCTTTTTTTTTTTTTTTTTTGGCTGTGGTAAGGTATGGTATTTTCCTTCAGTTGGAGGCTATAGCTATGAGATTATAATTAAGTCTGGAAACATTATTTTCATTATGGTGACTGAAATTAGCTTTCTACTCACTCACAGTTTTGTTATATGTGTGACACATTACCCTTATTATATAGCAATCCCTTTTGTCCCTACACACTGTACTGATTGGGTACAGTAATGCCAAAGGTGATGTCAAAGCCTCACCTATTGGCCTGCCTTGCAAGCGCAAGGACCTGAGTTCAATCCCCGGTACCAAAAAACAAACAAACAAACAAACAAAATTTCATCCTCACTGAGCAAAATTTGAATATAAAAATCTAAAAGAAGAAAATAACCTTCTCCTCTTCTTCAATTCTTCTCCCATTCCACGTAACCACTGCAATCAGTTTTATTTGTAAAAAAAGTAGCTTTTTTGCACTGGAGATAAATGAGCTCTGTATTAATTTTTATTGTTTTTACTTTCGCTGGCACATGTTTGAAGTACATAATGATTACATTATTATTGAGGACTTGGTACATGTACATAACAAATCTTAATTCTTTTGCATCCCTTTCCCCTTCCTTTTTCTCTCCCAGAGTTCAATTAAAGATCCCAAATTGCATTTCGTCTTCAGAAAAAAAAAAAAAAAAAAAGCCTCACCTATGAGTGCATAAGGCTTTGGGGGAGCATCTAGAAACAATCCAAAACAACCCACATGTGAAAGAAGAGATGAGGTATTTATTTTTCTGTGTCTGACTTATTTTACTTAATAACATGTCTTCCAGCTCCATCCTTTTTGTGATGGAAGAGCGTTCCTTTTATGGTTGAATAATATTTTATTGTGTGTTTATAGCATTTTTCTCTATTTATCTTTTGATAAACATCAATGTTGATTGCATATCTTCGCACTTGGGAATGGTGTAGGAATAACAATGGTCATGCAAGTGTCTATTTGATATGTTGATATAATTTCATTTGGATATATACTCAGAAATAGCATAACTGGATCCTATAATAGATATAGCTTTAGTTTTTTAGGAAGGTCCATACTGAGGTCTCCAAAGTGACTGTACCATCTATATTGCCATTGATCTACAAGGAAAGGTAGCTTTTTCTTTACATACTTGGCAGTATTATTTTTTTCTACTTGATAATACACATTCTTGAATTTCCTTGATAGCTAATGAAAATGAGCATTTTCATATATCTTTTGATCATTTTAATTTCTTTGGTGAGGCACCTATTTATATCAATATTATTTCTACAATTCAGTACATCTGAAGGTTATTTTGGAATTCAGTCCTGCTTTAGAAGAGTCAGTTTACCAAATAAAAAAATATGAAGCAGTGAAAAAAAGGAAAATAATACAACTCACAATGTTACTGAAATTCCCAAATTTTATGAGTTGTTAATGGTGGAAAATTAAGCAATTCGGTCCCATGATTATCTTTGCCCCCACAGACAATTGAATATCTTAGGCAGAAGCCAAGCATGTGTTGATTGGTACAGAGATGACTTCCAGGAAGTGCTGAAGGTCCTATTTATTTTGAGGAATTAATGGGTCACCTGTTATTTTTAGTTTATCTGTGTTGTGTTCTTGTCCTTTTCTTTCTCATTCTTTGGCTGTGTGATAATTGCACATATTCATTCTTAGTGGCAGAAAAGTCAAGTTTCAGTCTTGCTGTCATATACAGCACTGACAATGCCAACCATCTCCAAGCCCCTTACAGTCTTGAGAATAGTACCTGGCATACTGTAGGCTTTTAATGAGCATTTATTGCATTTGAAGCATTGTTTGAGGAAGGAGTTATAGTGAAACTTCATCATACTGAACCCCTATACTTTGAAAGAATTAGACTAGAAAAATGTATTTTGGATGACAAAGTTTTTAAAAACTAATGACCATATTTAGGTTATATAAAATGTTAGAGAATATACATTTATTACTAGTAAAGAAGTACAAATATGCTCGTCTTACTTTAAAAGTAATTATGGGGGAAAAAGGGCATTCCAAATGTATAAGAATCTCTTTTCCATCTTTGTAGTATATAATTAACCAAGTTTTTTACATTTATTCAGGAAAGTAATAAGCCACTTGTAAATAATGGTAATGTGTTCTGTATACTTAAATGTCAATAATCTGAACATAAATTTTCTCCTGCTCTTAGTTACAAAAGTATGTTTTTGAGATAATGCAGATACAGGTATCATTACCTTAGCTGCAGTTCCATTTTCCACAAATGTAAATGTATTAATGTAACACATGGAGGATAATCAAGCGTTTTCCCACTATTGAAAACTGTAGTGCATGGAAATTAAATCAATATGCAGCTTTTAAAAAACTACATGGTGACAGCAGAAAAATGAAACCTTAGTGCATTTTAGGAAAGAGACAGAAGTAGTAGGTGTCTATTAAAATAACAATCACAGGTGGAAGAAATAAGAATATATCTTTTCCACATGTTGATTGCCTGATGTTCTATCCCCTTGATTTCTCAAGATTAATAACTTGAGTAAGGAGGCTTTTGTAAAAATGTACACATAAGGACCAATTAAAAAATAAAGTGTGATTTTTTTTCCCCCATCATTGGAAATGGACTTGGTTTAACATTGTCGATTTGTGGGCAACTAGGATAGGGTGTTTGTCACCTAGGTGAATTTTGTGCTTACTAGCCAATGATAGAAATATCCTTTAAAAATAAAAGTCTTTACATATTTCAATAAAGATTACTTTCATGCTTGAAAATTATGAAAGACATTCAGTGATACCATAGTTCAACCATATGTGTAGAAATTAAATAATAAAAATCAAATGTAGCCTTAAATTCAGGATTTCAGGTGACATCAGCACTATCTTACCAGGAAACATCTCAATAGTCTATTCAAATCTCTAGCAGTTTCCTTTTGTTTTCTTGTTGTTTTTTGTTTTGCTGTACTGGGACTCAAACTCAGAACCTCATGCATGCTATGCAAGAACTCTGTAAACAGATAAGAGAGTAAGAAACAAAGGTCAGAGAACAATGTTACTACTATAAACAGAAAGATAATAGTAAAGACAAATATCAAAGTATTGTTAGTGTAAATAGAGTTCCTAACTGAATTATATTCTTAACATTATTGATTTAAAAAGAGTGTCAATAAAAGATGACTCAGAATTCTGGTAATAAAAATATGATTATATTATGCACAGTTAATAGATTTTTAATGCATATTTAATGTACACCATGTATACAAGCTTTTAAAGTGTAGTGAGTTTATAAACATATCTTAGGCATAATATGTTAGGAACTGGTCAGCAAATTACATATGCTTATACTCTGAAAGTTGATGGTAAGTTGCTTGTTTGAAATTCACAATATTTCTTCAAATAACCATTGTGCTTAGTTACTTTCTTGTCAGTAAACACAGTACCCAACATCCACAAATTCAAGGAGAATTTTATTTTGTCTGAATCTATAAAGGTTTCAGTCCATGGTCATCTGGCACCAAGGCAGGGCACCGTGGCAGAGGGCCAGAGCCAAGGAGAGACATTCAAGGCATGACAGACAGGAAGTAGTGAGGAAGGGTGGCAGAAGATATACCCTTCCAGACCACACCACCAGTGACCCACCTCCTCCACTCTACATCACACTTAGCTATGCACTCATCAGTAGTTAATGTACTGATGACTATCGCACCTCTGCTATTCAGTCACAACCCCCAAGCCCCACCTATGAGCACATGAGTCTTTAGGAGGACATCTAGATGTAGGTCATATCATTCTGTCCCAGGATCCCCAAAGAATCATGTGCCTCCCTGTTTGCAAAATAGATTCAGTCTATCTCTAAGAGTTGCCAAAGTTCTGACAGTTTCAGCATTGCTGAAAAGCCTAAATCCCAAGTCTCCACTGAGATTTAAGCCAACTCTTTGTAGTAGTCCTCTGTAAAAATTAAAAGAAAATTAAACACTTCAAACAGAGAATGGCACAAGATAAAATTTCCCACCCCAGAAGGAGAAATAGGGAGATAGAAAGAAATGGGACTAAAGCAAGACTGAAATTTAGCAGGGCAAACATTAAATCTGGCAGTTCCTTGCTCAATTCCCTGAGCAAACTATGGTAAGTCATGCACTCCAAAGAGCTTGAGTGGTCCCGCCCCTTCTGCATTGCCAGTTGTTGTAGCCCTCAGTCCCTCTCTTTTGGGCCAGCTTTCCTCAGTCCTTGCTGCTTTCCTCAGACATTCCACTTTCCTGGCTTTTCCAATATCCTGGGTCTCCACTCCTGTGGCTTAACTCTTACCACTTGCACTGCCTTCCCATTGGCATACTGCTTAGCCTTCTAGGCTTTCTTTTGAAATATGGATAGAAGCCTTCCTGACCACATAAATCTTACAATCTGCATGTATATAAAATCTGCATGCATGTAGATGACTAGGCCAATGCCTGCTGACAGCAGGAGTCAAGACCTTTTGCATTTTGTTAGTTGTTCCAGAAGCCTCTGAGTGCCTGGCTGGCTGAGCAAAGAAAACTGGATCCTAGGAAACAATTCCCTGGCTATCCCTTCTGGAGCAGAGTTCCCTGGGGCTCTAGTTTCAAAGCAGTCTTTCAGCCTTGCACCATTGAGTGTGCTACGAGAGGAGTCTTGGCATTTATTGGGATTCTTTGAAGCAGTTTTCCAATTATATACCGTTGTAAACTACATAACTTTTTAAATAGGGAAATATATATATATATATATATACACATACATATTTGCAATACGTAACATTTACATTGCTTATGTGGAGTAGATACATGTGCATAATACATCTTAATTCCTTGTTTCACCCCTTTCCCATCTCTTGATTCCTTTCCCATTTGAGAAAAGCCTCATTACTTTGTATTATCTATCATTTACTTTGCTCTTTATAATTTGGGTTTCTCATATAAGAGAAACTATGCGATATTTAAGCTTTCATCTTTTTAGTGCTAGTCTTTTCAGCAATCAAGCTCTTTGTTCCAACTTTGCCAGTCCTAACTTAACCTGAGCTTCATTTCTGGCCAAAATAAAACTTTTTAAATCATTCAGCTTTGATGTTTGCTTTTGATTCTCAAGGTAGAGCTAGCTAAACGTCCACAACAGTAACCATGCCACAGCATCAACCTTTGATTTCCTTGATATTTCCTCTACCAGATTAACTAGTCCACTGCTCTGAATATCAATCTCCCAAAGCCTCAGGACAGGAGCAAAATGCAGACAAATTTTCTGCCAGAGTATAATACCCATGGCTTGGCATTCACCTGCCACTGCAGTCCTGCTCCCAACCAAACAAATCCTGAACCTGGTCTTTTCCTTCTACTTAAAAAAAAAAAAATCAATATTTTGGTCTTTTACGCTCTGATTAGAGTCTTCTATCAAGCTCAGTTCACAGCACCGTAGGGCTGTTTCCCTAGCCAGCCTCTCCAAACCTTTCCAAACTCGTCTTAGGAACCAGTCCCAAAGGCTTCTGAACCATATGGTCAAGTAGTCACAGCAAGGACCCAATTTCTGGCAACAAAATCTGTTTTAGTTACTTTCTCCTCAATGAGACACAATAGTTACACCTATAATTTAAAGGAGAAGTTAATTTAGCTCATAGTCTGCAGATGTTTCAGTCCTTAAGTCAGCTGGCTGCAAGCCAAGGTACCAAGGCAAGAGGGCATGGCAGAGGATATTTGTTCATGGCATGATAAACAAGGAGCAATGAGAAAGGAAGGATGGAGGGAGGGAGGGACGCAC